TCTATTCATTTAAAAATAGATTCCTACACTTTAATAATAGCATTTTTTTGTCCCTTAATCATTGGTAGATTTTAATTTTAAATCATTTGTTATCTGACTAAAAAAGTTAACTTTCAACTATTTGAAACGTATACTTATTAATCAAATATTCACTAAATTTTAACATTAATAATAGTTAATTACTCACATATTGCATAAAACTTGGGAAAGTTTTAATGTTCCTATTCTTATGAAGTTATTGGTCGAAAGTCAAAAATATTACAAAGATAAATATTAAAATTTATAAAGATTAAAAATATTATTTTCTCTATTTACGATATAGCGATTATTTATAATATAATGATAAATTATGACCTATAAGGAAAAATACAATCGAGGAACTACGTATAATAAATATATCTAGGAATTATAGGAAAATAGGACGAAATTAGAGCTCTTAAAAAAATTCCTTTTTATTAATGTAAATTATTTGTTTTTATCAATGTGGTAAGAGATTAATCTTAGGTATGGCAAGTAAATACACCTAATTTGTTTGATATTTTTGACTTGATCTAAAGTGTAATAAATATAGTAGGTATCTTTTGGATTTATTTCATATTATTAAACACAACTTCTTCATGTTTATGATGACAAAATTAATTTCCATTTGTACATCATCCATAGACATACCACGAGTCTCTTTTTTATTGTTATTTTTTTCGTTTAATATTAATTTTTCACGTGATATATTAGTACATTATATGTCAAACGAAAATCAAAAAAATATAAAGCTTTTCATGTGACATATCATATGAAAATCAAATCAATAAACTTTTCACGTGACATATTAATACATTTCATATTAAAAAAATTCATGTGATATATTAAATAAAACTTAGATGTATAAATTGAAACGGATGGACCGAGTAAAAAACTTTGACACAGAGTTTTTAGTTTTAGAAGTTTTTAGATTCTAAGTCTATAAAAATTGGTGTTTCGTGGAATTAATTTTGGTCCATTTATGTAAACAGAAATTTCTAATTTTAGAGTACTAATATTTTTGAAATTGGCATTTTTTTTAATTGTATTTTACTCAATGACAATGCATGCTTCCAAACCTTTTGATTCCTTGTGTTATTTGCTTAGAGAAAAAATAAATGTAATTAAAATATGATAATACATAGATATCACTTAGAAGTCAATTTCATCGTCTTAATTAACATTATAAATGGTTAAAAAAATTTAATATATACCTCGAAAACACTATAGTTGACAGTAATAATCTAACAATTTAATTATGTTTTTTTTCAAAAGTAATTATTTTTTAAAAAAATGTTCCTAAGTCTATAGCGACACTGAATTCAATGATAATTAATTACTGATAAATGACATTAGTACGATTTATCATTATACATATTTATTTTTGCTAAAATTTATTTTTCATAGCACACAATACTAGTATATTACAAATTTTAATTAGCCTATGACATCTCTGCATGGTCGTTCATCGATCAGTAATTATTTAAGCACGTCACCCATTTTCAAATTTGATGATTTTATTTATTTTTCCTCTATATTCATTGCATCATTAATTAATAATTACTACTCCTACTGTCTATATTAGTAAATATTTAGAACCGTTCACGTGCTTTTAAACATAAGTACTTATAATAGGAAATCATTAAATTGAATCGAATACTCAGTTTCAATTTGATTATCTTGCTTTGACTTAGCATTTATAGTATTGAATTAAAAATTAATAAAATATATTAAAACGTTCTTAATTTTTGAGATCGTCAAGTAAAAAAGAGAAATTCTTTGTAAAATACATTTAAAAAATAGATTGAAATGGAGGCGGAAATATTATGTTTTTTTATCAAGAAATGTGGCATGGGCCAAAGTTACTTGTCCTTAGATAATGAATACTAAAACAGGAAAATCGTTATCCAACCCATTCATGTTGTTAAAATTAGTTAAAATAATTTGTTACAAGTTTACCTAAGTACTCAATGTAAGTTAATTTCTTTTTGGCTAACAAATATTGTACTATATAGTTTTTATTTTATTCAAAAATGTTGATTATATTTCTTTTTATAAAGTAATGTTTGAAGTCTAATTCACAATTTCTCTTTAAAATTATTCAAATCTTAATTAGTTGATGTGTTCTCTTTTATTGTTGAGCAACTACAAGTGATTGATACCTAGTTAGAGATTTTGTTGAGCTAGTTGCTTTTTGGAGTAACGTATAAATAAAAGAAAAAATATTTATATTTGTGATATAAATTGTGAAAAATAAAATTTTAGTCATAATGTTAGTGCATTTATTGTAGACCTAAAAAAAGCTTCTACCCATGACAAGTGACATTGGTTATTACCTCACATGATAAAGTTTTACTTGGCCAATTTCATATAGGGATGGTGGGGTGGGAGGGGGGGGTTGTTTGAATGTAGGATGGGTTTAAGGTTACGTGGGGCGGATTAAAGAGGGTTTAAAATTAATATGGGGCGGGACGGGTTACGGGATTTATATGATTTGATGTAATTTTAATTTCTTACATGTTATAAGAGTGATGGAGTATTATTTACCAAAATAATTTTTTTTTACGTAAACTGTTTTGAATGACTAAGAAACAAGAAAGAAGAAAAAATTATCTCACTACTTGCATTTAATATTTTATTATTACATCAATTGTAACCAATTCAAATCTACCCAAAAGAAAATGTTGCTTACATATTAAAAGAGTTATAAATGTTAAAATAATGTTATAATATGTTAATTTTAGCGATTAACAATGAACAAAGTTTTAATTTCTTAAATTGAAAATTTACTAAGCCTATTATTTAAAATGCTTCTTAAAAAATATATGGAATGGGATAGGGCGAGACAGGTTTCTACGGGACGGGACGGATTGGGTTGAAAACAACAAATATATTATGTGATACGAAATGGAACGAATAAAAATCTTAACGAATTTAAGCAGATACGTCCCGCAATCACTCCGCCTCATTGCCACCCCTAATTTCATACTCCAATTGTGCAATAAATTTATTATAATTCATTATTTAAGTATGTTCATCAAATTAGATAATAAAAAAAAAACAAAAAATATTTACATTCCTAGCAAATCTCATTTACTTCCTATTAAATAATCTTGTCTCACTACTGGCCAAACCAACTAGGCATTAAAATCACTTAAGCTACGACCCATATTCATTAAGCAATTATTGAATGTCTTTAGACTATGTAAAAAGAATAAAAATATGTTTTTTTTATAGTTTAGTTTCAAAAATTATTTATCGTTAATATTTTGGTTTAAATATGTCTTTATAGTTAATATTTGATCTAATAATACTTCTATAATTACAAAATGGGTTAACAATGCCCTTTTACTAATAAATATTTCTTTTTTTAACACATTTTTTTCTAATTAAAATATTATTAAATAACACTATTCTTGTTTTATTCTTGAAATCATTTTAACAAATAAAAATTTAAAGAATATTTTTTTGTTCTTAATCTCATTTTATTGATTAAAACAGAATAATTTCATGTAGCCTTTCGACATATATATATATATATATTTCATACAAATAAAATCATATTATATCCACTATTAATTTATGTTTATATTACGATAAAAATATGATACCAAAATAAGAAATATTTAATTTTTTTCATTTTTCATGAATTAAAGTAGGATTAACATTTGCTATTTTTGTAAAAAAATATATCATGAGAAAAAAAAACGTGTTGAAAAGAAAATAATAATATATTTATTTGAATATGAGCATTTTGACCCATTAAATAACAATAATATGTTTGGACCAAAGTATTGAAGGCAAGGACATTTTTGAACCAAACAATAAACGGAGGGCATTTTTGTTCCTTTCGTATAAGCTTAAGGGCATTTTTGAGCCAAAGTATTAACGGTAAGGACATTTTTGAACCAAATTATAAATGGAGGACATTCTTGTTCCTTTCACAAAATTCAAAGGCATTTTTTACCATTACAAAAATTAATACTTCACTACTATATATATATATATATATATATATATATATATATATTATTTATTACCTATACTTTCAAAGTATTATATAGCTCACCATCAATTAAGAGTATCGTCATATGTATCTTAAACTTTAAATACATTTATTGTTGCAACTAGATACCCAGAAAAGGAGGGATCAGAGACAAGCAAGATTGCGGAGAGAGGCGAGCGGTATTCGAACATATCCAAAATAATACATGTGAATCACACTAGATACACATTAGATATATGTAATACCATATACATGAGAGAATGCCAAGAGAGATGGAAGAGAAGTTAGTGAGATTTACAATGTATCTCATATACATGGGAGAGTGGCAAGCGAGATAGAAGAGAAGCGAGTGAGATTTGCTATGTATCCTGAATATATGTAAATTAACTTGATTACGATGTATCAAGAACAAATTACATCTAGATTTGACCCTATATATATGAGATACATGTATCTGGACGTATTTAAATGCACCAAAATCTATTAAAACACATAATATTATAAACTAAAATATATTAAAGTAATTAACTCCTGCACTATTAGGAAAGTTTACATTACTCAGTCAAAGGAATATGCACATGGTGGAGAATAAATGAAAATGTGCACTAAATACTTCCCGAAAACTTTAGTCCAATCACCATCCACCCGTATATAATAAATATTAAAATAGTGTACATCATCGTATTCATTTCAACGTATACTTTTCTTATACATATTGCTTATCGATTATCACCATTACATGTCAATACAAAAATATAAAAAATATCTAATGATATATATATATTTGGTGGCTTATTTAAGTTCCGAACTCATTTCATCTCAATTTACGATGTAATTAATGTTTGTGAAGATATTTGATATCTTATACATTACCTGTATGATATAGCTTTTATGTATATATAATAGGCGCTTTAATACTTCTGTACTCACAAGTTATCTAAGTTTGCTTTGATCTTTATAATTAGTCTCGAAAATATTGTCTCTCAACATTTTTCTTGATTTCATACCTTAAATATTGCAAATGTACAAAAAAATCAAATTCATGGTAAAGCATCCTTACCAAAATAAATTAACAATCATTATTTAGAATTAGGTAATAAGGACTAGTAAAGAATCACATTTCTCATTTTAATTGTATATCTTCAGTACAATACATTGTTTTTGTGGTCATAATGAACCAAAACACTCTGGAGGCCATACCTACATATGCAAAAACACAAGAGGGTGCTAATTAGTTTCTATATACGAGATTCTCAAATGGCTACTCCACCCCCAATATTTGTGTATCTATGACCATAATATCGATATTAATATTGTTGATGTAAGTCGATTAATTTGCATAAAGAAGCATTCTAAGTAAAGGTAAGCAACCATCAAATATCAAATGTAAAGACTTCAAAGCAGATGATGGTTATGGACTCTTATCTTGTTCAGGATGTAAAGGCAGATGAACTACAATTGCATATTAGACTTGGAGTTAGCAGAGTTCTGCGTAAACTTGCCTAAGCCATGGGCTAGAGTTTTCTAGTCGTATACTGAACTTTTAAGGGAAAGCACGATTCCTAGATGCTAATCCATCCCAGAGGTAAAATCATTTAAGAAGTTGAGGATTCATTAAGATGGTTCGAATGACTCAAGACAGTAAAGGTAATGAAACTTACTCTGTATAACACTTTTCCCGAGATAAGGCCACAAGGGATTGGCCCGAGCTGTCGTGAATCCTTTGAAGCATAGATGTTATCTCCTTGAATCCAAACATGCCCCTTTGGAACCTAGATAACCCCACATGAAAAGAATTGAAAAGGATGGGAGAAACCAAAGAAACTATAAGAATATAAAGCATCAAAAATAAAACTACAGTATATTATGGAATGAGAAAACATGTATCGCCTCAGTCACATCGTAAGCAGTGGATAGTCACCTCAAAGATGGATAAACTTTTTCTCTTCTAACGAAATATATTTATTAACACAAGAAAGAATTCCAAGCCAGTTTCAAATTGCTATTTCAGGTGGTATTCCAGAAAATCAGAATGAAACTACTAAAAAGCATACAACATCTAAATAAAGTAAAAAATAGAGCATCTTTAGTGCTTCAAATAAAATCCTCAGTTATATATAGAGATTAGAGGGCAAGGCCCATTGTCCAGAGTTTCGAACTGTGCACTACTCACACTTCGGGTTTACTCAGGTATTAAAAAGAAAATTGGATTCTCATTTTCCCGTTTACTTTGAGATGAAATGTGGCAAACGAAATAGATTCACATACTCTGCCAAAATAATAAGACCTTGGATATAAGAAACTGAAGGTGAGCCTGGAAACAACAATGAGAGAGAAAACCTTAGTGGGTAAGCATAAGGAAGCTTGGTGGCATGCCTAACATTGTGTTCAGAGCCCAAATTTCAGGTTTCTAAAGAGAATTGACACCACAATATCCTAGGTCCTGGCAATTACAAATATTAAAGAAGACAGTAAGGTCCATTACTCAGCAAGAATTAAGAGTACTTCCCAAGCAATTAGTGGATGTTTTTGGTCATATGCAGTTCTCTTTACAACAACTATACCTCAATGCTAAACTAGTTAGGATTCAGTGTTTCCATTAAAGTATCTTCTTAACTAGCTTCGGACAAATAGTTGGTCTTTTGAAACAACTTCACTCCATTGGATTTTAAATCTACCAATGTTATCTTTTAACACTAAACCATCCTAGAGTCCGAACCACTGACAAACAAATTTATTGGTCTATATAGGTCAAACCATCTAATGTGACCTCCTTTTGTTTTATCCCATGTGTGGTTTCTATGAAAGGGTGGAAAACTAGGAAGTCCAAAGATTGAAAGATACAACTTTTTCTCTCATTTGCTTAATGAAGTAAAGGGACTCCAAGAATTTAAAGCATTCACTGCAGAAACTAGCAACTGTCTGTTATCTCTAACTAAGGTGAAATCTAATGAAGAACAAGAGGTTTGCATCTATAAGGAAAGAGAAAAGACAGAGAGCACTAGGAAGATAAAAACAGTGAATCTACAGACCAATGACAAAACTGGACTATAGTTAATAGAAAATCATCAACAATAGAAATTAAAGCAGCCACAAGTCTTAAAAGAATTGGCTTGGCAGTCATGTAACTCCTTGAGAATCATGTTATTCGACTGTCACGTGCTGCCACCAGAGTCATAAATACCCACAGTAAGCACCTGGCTCACCCTTATCTCTAGAGGGCTATCCTAGCACATTTTTATTTAAAAGCTCCTGACTCGCCCCTTTCTCTAAAGGGGTTAATCCTAGCACATTTTTGTTTAAAAGCTCCTAACTCGCCCCTATCTCTCAAGGGGCTAATCCTAGGACAATTTTTGTCTAAAAGCTCCTGACTCACCACTATTTCTAAAGGGGCTCAATGCTAGGACATTTTTGTTTAAAAGCTCCTGACTCGCCCCTATCTCTAAAAAGGCTAATCCTAGCATATTTTCGTTTACAAGCTAGTAACTCACCCCTATCTCTAAAGGGGCTAATCTTAGGACATTTTTGTCTAAAACTCCTGACTTGCCACTATCTCTAAAGGGGCTAAATCCTAGGACATTTCTGTTTAGAACCTCCTTGCTCACCCTATCTATAAAGGGGTTAATCCTAGCACATTCTTCTTTAAGCCTTCCTAGACTTCTTCATTACAACAATAACTCATGCTAGCCCACATATGGTCATATACTTAGCCAACAAAAGGAACACATTGTTTGAGGCTATGGCTCCTCACCTAACAACAATCAACAATCAATCCAAGAATGGAAAAAGGGCAAAATTACACTAAAGAAAAGAACACACCTTTAAGCTAATATACCGGTCACTTTTTGAAGGGTCAGCTAGAAAAGTGACAGTATCACCCTCCATGCCAATAATTCGTTTAGTTACAGTCTTCCTAGGGTTATCAGGTGACCGAACAAGGATTACATCTCCAGGTCCCAACTTATCGAACAACGGCGACAAATGTTCAACCAGCAAAACATCACCGGTAAGATTCAGGGTCGGCAACATGCTCGGACCGTACACCTAAAACAGTAGAAAAATTTTATCCGCATAACCTAATTTCTTAGCGGTAAAATTGCAGATAAAATGGAGAAAATACGTACCATTACTGGAGAGAAAACGTAGTTGCTTGTGACATGTAATAAGCAGAGGAATTTGGCGATAAGAAGTGATTGTTGAATTCCGTCATTGGCTTTGGATTTCCATTGACTCAAGTACTGAAACAATCGCATTATCTTCTCCCACCTTTACAAAACCATGAATGAAATAGGTAAATGATATCAAATATTATTAAATGTTAAATATAAATTTGTTTTATTTTAATTTTTTAAAGTTTAATTTTTTTTTAAATTAATCAACTTTTTATCGTGTTAGATATTTTAGTCATTTGATTAAAAGAAGTGTTTAACTATTCTTATTTGCAAATGAGGAAATACATAATTACCCCATCACATTTGTATCCTTTTCTGAAATAGACACCTAAATTTTGTAGGGGTTCTATTACCATCGTTCAACTATTTTTAACAATTTTAAATACATAATTTTTATAATATTTGCAATCTCGTGTGTTTCACCCCAAATAAAATAATATTTTTTTATTTTTCTTACTTGTTTACTTTTGACCCACTCACATTTTGACTCATAATTTTTTTTTTGGAAATAATCATGTTCATTCTTTTCAATTTATTTTTCCAATTCTTTTGCTTTACTTTACTTTAAAAGATTTTTTTTATTTCGTAGTAAATATATATTTATATAAGTTTTGTAAGCTATTTTTTAGTTTAGTGTTTGATTTCAATTTTTTTCCCCAAAAATTAGTTGAATCTTTTTTAGCTGTGTGGGTATTTCAAAATCAAGACTAGATTTGATGATATTGAGTTGATTTTTCTAATAAAACGCCTTAAGATGGATTACTAGAACTTGATGATAGAGAATATAGTACAGAAATTCGCTTTGCGTAGTAAAGAACCAACCAACTTTTGCTGTTGAGAAAAGCTCTCAATAGCCATTAATGGTGATTTGGCGAAGAAGAAACATGGGTCTCTTTTCACTTTGATCTAACAATGTCATATGTAAGTTTTCCATTGATTTGGGGCTGCAAGTTTAACCTTTCACGCGCTTGTGTAATTATAATTGTTATGAAAATGGATCAAAATGATGTATTTATTATGAATTTAAATTATTTCGTGGAGTGATATGACCCCCACAAACTTAAGGCGTCTACTTGAAAAAAAAATATAAATTTAATTGGGTAATGATGTACTTCCTCTTTGCAAAATACATCAATAACTTTCTTTTCAAGTGCACTTTTATCTAACATATAACTTACTTATTTTTAAGATAAATGACCACTTAAAAAAATATCCTCATTTTCTTTTTAATTTGTTGCAAAAATAATTTTCTTTTTAGTAAGTTCGCAAAAATAATTTCCATTTTAGTAAGTTCAAACAAGAATGACCCTTTTCTTTTGAAAATACTTTAAACTTTAACTACATGTTTAAAACTAAATCATTAAAAAATATTTTTATATATTTAACATAATTTTAATTTAGAATCACAAAATTAAAATATTATATTTCTTTACTTAAATTTCGTTCGAAATCAAATTAGGTCTATCCTTTCCTGCTTTTTCAGGTTCCTGCTATTTCCTGCCTCCAGCCATTAAGCGAGAGGATACTTGTACCCAAAACCGACACAATTGCCTTTTTAAAACTAATCTAAATGGGTCGTACAACGTAGCTTTTACATTTAATTTAACTTTTTTGTTTCAAAATACTAGAAATATTGAAATAAATCAATCTAAAGAGAGGCTCTAAAATGTAAATAGGTGATTGGTTAAGAGTTTCAAAATCAAATTAACATGGACGACGTTTTATTAAAAAAATTAGGTTAATTAGTCAACCATTAGAAAATTTTGAAAACAAATTAGTTTGGTTAATTAAGAATATTTTTCTAGAAATCAGAAAAACTAAATCTATTAGTTATAAATGGCCGTATTTCATATTTGGTAGCTTCAAATTAACAAAAACAGTCTAATTAGTTTAGTTAATATTCATGCAGCCAAAACAAAAAATTAGAGTGAAAAAATTAACAGATTGTCGATTAACCTAATTGAGTGTTTAAAATCTGAAGCTCAAATGTAGGGCAGAATATGTGAAGTAAAAAGAGGATGAAGATCAAGCACGATGAAGGGACGATGAGACTCTGCCCTAATTGAAATTGAATTCCCACACATGTTTAAGGAAATCATTTGGATCGGCCGTAGAATTGTAAAAAAAAAATAGAAATACAAAGGAAATGTGAGACCTTTCTCTACAGAAGCAATCGATCAGTAAAATACAATTGCATAGATGAAGAAAGGACTGATAATCAGTATATGCCCGCAACGGAACTAGAGCGCCATTGTTTCATTAGCTCGCTCTGATCTCTCATAGGCAATGTTCTAAACCCTAGATTCCATGATCAATTATATATAGTTTTATTTGTTGGGCTTTGACAGGTTGGGCCTTATAATTCAGCCAAAAACAGCTCATCAAGTTGGGCCGTAAGTAATGGGCCTTCCGTCATTAAACCTATTGAATGTTGAATGTACACAGCCAACGAAAGCCCAAACATTGAGAAAAGTAAATATTTGAAGTTCAACAAAGATTTAAAAGCACGTAATGTTGATTTTTTTTTATTTCAATAAATCAAATGAAGACATAATACGTAAAGGTGTTCTTTAACTTAATCTTAACAGACATCTATGTCCTCCAAGATTAAGATGTGCACGAATAGATATTTATATTTATTTAAAATTAAATAAGTAGACATACACGTTCTACGTAGCATAATGCACTTCCCTATTGAATTGCGTTTGCGGGGCTTCTTGCCTCGCCATCTGTCTTGTCCGTCTGAATGATGGAACTCCCAATGGAATGGTTTTCAAACCTTATGATGTCATATGTAGGACTACAAATTGTCACTTAGGACTTGTGCATCTATTTTTTCAATTATATACTATCTCCGTTTCAAAAAGAATGACTTAGTTTGATTTGGAACGGAGTCTAAGAACAGTATGAAGATTTTTTAATCTTATAGTTCTAGATTAAAGTTACATCAAATGTATCAAAATGCCCTTAATCTTGTGGTCTTAAACATGCTACGTGGAAAATTAAAGTGTAAGTGTTACCAAAAAAGAAAAGGGGTCATTCTTTTTAAACAAATTAAAAAGAAAATAGAAACATTTTTTTTAAACGGAGGGAGTATATTATATATATATATATATATATATATATATAAAAAACTGGCAGGTATTTTCATACTGCTCTATCCTGTGTCTTTTCCATATATATTATAGAAACGTTTATATACCACTTATACAACCCAAATAAAAGTGACCTCTTTTATTTTATTTTTTTGGAAGTTTGTCCCTCTTTACTATTTTAATCGATATGAAGTGTTATTTTAGCAAGTAGCTGTTACTATTTATTTTTTTTTTGACATTTTAAATATGTATGGTAAAAATATTATGCTTTTCTTGAGCTAGTTTGGACTTTGGAGTATAAAAATGCAACCGACACTTGCAATAGGCAAGCGTTATGAAATTAAGTGAAGATAATCTTTCAATTTCACAAATCACGAGCTTGAATGAAAAAATATATGATAATATTTAAAAGTTAAAATTGTATGTGAGCAAATATTATTTTAAAAATAATACTAAAATTTATATTAAAAAAAAGATTTTCTTGCAATTCTGCCTATATTGATTTTTTTTTTTGATTCATTTTGTACTTTAGACACTATTTAAAAGAAAATATAATATTAATATTTTATTATAATATTCATATCATTTATCTCTTCTATCTTATTTATGTGGCATCATTTTTAGGTCATTCTAAAAATATATTATCTTATTATAATTGAGAAAAATTTAACCTCAAAATAAGATATAATTTTTTTCTATATATGTTTAAACTTAATGTAATAAATAAAAATAAAAATATATTTTTAAAATACTAAATAAATTAAATATTTTTTATCAATTTTTTACTTGTTATATAAATTTTGACTTGACACAGATTTTAAAAAATATATTAATTAATTAATAAAATATTGATATTTATTTCCTATATTTTTGAAAATATTAATTTAATATTAATAAATTAAAAATATAATAAAAGACGAAAGAGAAATCGAATTAAGAAATAATTAACATGAAAAGTACGTATTATATCCTCGAAGATTGAGACAAAGCAATGACGAAACAGTCTATATATTAAAAATTAATTATTAATATAAATAATAGGATGAATATTTATTGGGACCCACAGCATCTTTTTGGGGTCCGTGTCCAATTTTGGACCCACATCGTCAAAAGAAAAAAAAAAGAAAAGCCAAATAAAGCCTTCACGAGTCACGAACAAATAACAAGGTGGTAAGTAATATTATTTTTCCCTCTCGTCGAAATTCGATATTTATATAAAAATTCAATTAAATTTGTATCATATTTTTAACAAAAATAATTTCCTATTGAAAAAATCCAAATCAAATATGAAACCAACATTACAACCTTTTAAAATATTTGTTACTATAAATATATCGTATTAAATAAATAAATAACAAGAATACTTATCATTTTATTGCGGTGAAAAAATTGCTAGGTTGTAAATAGTTGAGTATATAGTAGTGGTCTGTATTGGATTTCGACGATCTAAGTTCATTTTATCTTCTCTCATTCCAATTTTGGAGTGCCGTGGCGTTGTTCGCTTGCTTTTATAAGCCTTTGCAGCAAGCAGCCATGGCGGCGCCTCCTCCTTCTATTACATTCTCATTTCCAGTTCCCCATGCAATCATGATGAAATCTATGTCAATCTTATCCTTCATTCTTCTTCTTTCACCTTTGTTCGCCATGGCTAACACATCATTTGGTAATTATTTGTGTTCTTCACATGTAAAGTTTTGATTTTTTTTACACCCTTTTGGGTAATGAATGAACCCTTTTAATGTTTCTGTTAGGATCTTTGGAAATGTGATGATTTTGCAAGTATTTGTACTTTTTTTTTTCTTCCAGGTGGAAAGCTTGCGTGTAAAAGTTGAAGTATATTCTGTCTGACTTTACTAGGTCTTTGAAGTTTATGTGTTGATTTGATTCTATTTAGAAAAAAAGATGGTTTCTTTATTGTGAAAATGGAATTATATTGTGACCTGTTTTTCTTAGGTAGCTGGTTCTTTGTGTTCTTGAAATCTATGTTTTGTTCGGAATCTTTAAAAATGTCTACGCGTATTGGATAGTCTAAAAGTAGTGT